GGTATGCGGGCCTCTCACTGTTGTGGCCTCTCCCGTTGCGGAGCACAGGCTCCGGACGCGCAGGCTCAGCGGCCATGGCTCACGGGCCCAGCCGCTCCGCAGCCTGTGGGATCTTCCCGGACCGGGGCACGAACCCGTGTCCCCTGCATCGGCAGGTGGACTCTCAACCACTGCGCCACCAGGGAAGCCCTCTAGCATACTTTTAAAGCTGTGTGCTATTAGTTAAGCTCCTGTCTCCCCTACTTGAGGATGGGCTACAGGGGATATGCCCCGTTCTCTTTCTAGCACAAGCCTGTAAGTGTACGCATAGGCAGACATTTGAAGCTGCTGGAAGGGAACCGAAGGTTATCTGGTGAGTACAGAGGTGGTGAAGGGTGTTGGCTGTGTTGAGGACTAGTGTCCTAAACCATGGTAATCTAATGCACCATATCAGTAAACATTTCTGAATTGCTAGGCAGCGAGGATATAGGCTCTGCCTACATCACAGGCCCTGCCCAGGGAGACCATGTGTCAACAAGCGGTGGCTAATATCTTCCTGGTGGACACCCGAGTGAAGCTTGTTCCGCTCCGTGGAATCACTGGCCCTCTGGGCAGGGGTCTCCCTGCCTTTGTGCCTGGCACCACCCCCACCCCGAACCTCTGGCATTCACGGTGCTTCTTTGTAGTTGCCACTTCACTTGTCCATCTTCCTCATTAGGGTAACTAACTGGCAGACAGGAAACTTATCCTTGAGGAGAACCAAGGCATTTGAACTTTGGCTGAGGACCAGGGACCTTCAGTTGCAAAGGGGACAGATGCCTCTGAGGAGAAGAGGTATCCAGGCGAGGTGTCACTGGGGACAGATGTGACATCTTCTGCCTCCCAAGTATATAACTCTGACCAGCGTCTCTCATGTGTCATTCCTTGAAAGAGAGAAAAAAGTGTGAAGTGGTATCAATTCAGTAGATGATGGAAAAATGTGGGTGACTCGGAGAGCAGGCCCTGCTCTTGAACTGGTTGTGTCCTGGTCACACAACACCTCAGGATGGGACAGTGACCACACTGGTGGCTTCTGGCTCGCCGCAGGTCCTTTCTTTAGGGAAGCAAGGTGGGTGTGTGCCGAGCTGGACCCTCACATGCATGACTCTAGTGGCAGTGTGCTGTTGTGGCCCTATGACGCGTGTGTGCTCAGAGGGCTGGAAGGGGCCCAGGAGTGCCCTGCAGCTGGCTCTCCTGCTGAGACCCTGGGTTCCCGCTCTGATTCCTGACAGCCATTTGCAAACCTTTGTGAGAGAACATCTTAACGTGTTCCCATCTCTGCCACACACTGTCCTCTTTAGCTGGGAGTCTGGCACAGTGCCAGCCAGTTAGCTCACTGAGTGCGGACGGGCCGTGGCCTAGGCCTTGTGATCAAGCACTGGACCCACGCCCCAAGGAAGCACATTCTCGGCTGAGTCAGCTGCCACTTTGGGTAGACTTGCCATCTACGTCTAGTTTTTGTTTTGTTTGTTTTTTGGGTTTTTTTGGCCGCACCCTGTGGCATGTGGGATCTTAGTTCCCGGGACAGGGATCGAACCCGTGCCCGTTGCAGTGGAAGCACAGAGTCTTAACTACTGGACCGCCGGGGAAGTCCCTAGGTCTAGTTTTTGACAGCAAATATGTATGGTTACCTTCTGGGCTCTGTGTTTCTTACAGGAGGCCTATCCTGCTCCTCTGTGTATGGCCTGGTTTTCCTAAGCCAGTGGTTCTCAAATGTGGGTGAGCATTAGAATCCCCGGAGAGCTTAGAAAAACATAGATTGCTGGGCCCTTCCCAGACTGGGATTCAGTAGGTCTGGGTGGGCCCAGAATTTAGATTCCTATCAGATTCCCAGGGGCTGCAGGTGCTATTTGTTCCAGGAAACACTTTGCCGTAAAGCCAGGGGACCATGTGACTTCGGAGTCCAGGGATCTCTTTTCCCCTCACCAGAGTCTCAGTAGCTTTCTTTTGAGATAGTCCACATGCCGTAATTCAGGCAGGCTGTCTGTGAATTAAAATAAGTAAAGAAGAACAAAATTAATGCCCCATGACTGCATTGCAGCAGTGGTCACTAGGCCTAATGGTGAAGTTACGGGACTGGCTGTCGGGAGACTTTGCGTTATACTG